ATTTAAAGATAGGTGTTCAATATTTACATATAAATGAATTTTTACAATTTTGAAGTGTTAGTACTTGAATAGTTAATTGTTAATTGTTAGGGTCTATTTTTATGAATATTTCTAGTGGAAAAATTCCAAGGTACCTTACAAACATAACCTTAGCAAGTTTATCAAGATTAGAAAAACAAATAATCAAAGGTAAAATTAATTTGGTCATACTTCTTGAGAAATTAGGATCACTAATTATCAAAACAAATTAAATGGGAAAACGTGCCAAAACCTCTGTATAAGGGGAGATAAACTATGTAGTCTAGAAACAGGATCTGAAGTATGAAAATAAAAGTAGCATCCCTTAATCTGTGTGTCAGTTTTATAAAACTCATTTAAGAAATGACTTGAAACCACCTAGTGTTTTCCACTGTTTGAGAAAGACAACCTCATTCCCTTTAAAAAATTCCATTTAATAAATATTATAAAACATGGTTCATGCTGTCTTGGTTCATGTACATTTTGGACACAATTTTTTAAAAGACAGATTAAGTAATACTTCAAAGCATAAGTTAATGCCAGCTGAAATGCAGTTCTCAAGCAGGTAAATGGGTTAAGATAATGTGATTTTTTTTGTAGTAAAATAACTCACTTATAATTCATAGATATTGAATACAGAAATAAAGCCACCCAGCTTGTACAGATGTGATTATAACTTTGCCAGAATTTAGAGACAGCTCAACAGAATGGAGGGGGAAAACCCCCAACGTATTAATATAAGGCTGGAATTAGATAGATGGATAATTTCAGCCTTCACGGATATGTTCATTTCCATCTCTCCAGAACACCCTAGAGTAATTCAAAGCTGTTAAGGTACTCCAATTATTCTGAAATTTTTCCCCCTTGTCTTCTAGGAGGCTAAATTGCTGGCTCAGAGTACTACCTACAGGAAAGGAAGTGAGCAGTTATTTATAATTTACAATATGACAGGCATTGTGCTTCTTCTATTTGAAGCTAAATATGCATGAAATAGGTATAATTAGCATTTTATCGGTAAAAAAGCCTAGGCCCCCAGAGATTAAGTACCTTGCTCAAGAGCCCAGAGATTTGGGGTTGGAACAGGGTTTTCTCTGACTCCAAATCCTACACAACTTCTTCTCCTGAACATAATAGTGGGTCCTACTTAGTTTAATCACATTTCAACTTTAAGAAAAGAATGGTTCTACAGGCCTAATTCACTTTTGTTATTAACTGTAACTCAGTGATTCTTGTGGGATGTGTCACGATAGGAATGTTTGTGATTGGAAATGTCTCAGGAGAAATCCCAAACTGCTAATTCTGAGGGGACAAATATGATAGGATTTATACACAGTTTAACCAATCTAGCAACCACATTATTTAACAGTTAACTCCTATTTCTGTGGTATTTTTAAAAAGAGTGTATTGGCTTGCTACACAGCACTCCTCCAAATACTAATTAGAATCCAGTAGTAGGTGGAGACTTTTTTCTGCTAAGTAGACTGGTGCTAAAACTCTAAAAATATACAGAGCTATGACAAATGCACAGAACACAGTAACTTCAGTATATTCAACTGTATTGTGAGACAAGGAAATATGTTTTTACATTTAGTAGCAGTATTATCCTTCAAATAAAAAAGGCAGAATGACTACTCTAGCCTCAATAGAATAAGGACTTGTTTAATATGTATTTGTACCGAGCCACCCATGCATCCCTTGACGCCCTTTTTTCCCCTTGATACCAGTGAGAAAATATTTGCTAAATTTTTCATAGTCCAAGAATAATTTAAATCAGTTGGTACCTCCTCCCATCTCTGTGTCACTTGGCTTCCTCTTATAAAAGTTGAGCAAGTAATTAACTTTACACACCGATGTAAACAGATGTGAAGATGCATACATTTACAGATCCACATCTACATACATATACACACATATGTATACACATTTATCCATAATATGCACACATATACGGCAACATAGTTTATAACCTTGAGGGTTTACAATATAAATGGTGATAACGAATTTATTGTAGTCAACCCGGTAAGGTCTAAAATGGGCCACTTAAATATTACTGCACTAAAATTTCTGCTTTCATGTAGGATGGAGGGAGTAGCTTATAACCTGTGAGAAAACAGAAAATTTAGATAAAATGTAAAAAATAAGCAGTTTAAAGGTATCTGAGAACTGCTGAAGCAACAAGGTCTAGAAGGTCTAAGATTCTTAAGAGAAGATAACCCTGGAGACGTAAGGAAAGAATTTTTGTTGATTCTGGGCTTGTGGAAGAGTCCAGACTTGGCCTGGGAAGAATGGCACTGCTGGGGGTTAGAGAAACCAGCTGAGAGGTGAAGAATCTTGAGGGGTTGGAGTGACAAAATATAGAGTTGAGAGATCTGAAACACTTGGTCAATGATCTCCTAATATGTGTCAAATTCTGAAGCTGTAGGATCTAGAGGCAAAAAGGTATGCTAAAACCGCTGGAAAACACCACTGATTTTTGGCAGTCTTGCAATCCTGAGAAGATAAATATTAAAAAAACCGGTGTTCAAGACCCACAAGAACACACTAGGCTAGGGTTAGTCCTGTGGATCAAATCCAACCTACCCCTGTTTTTGTATGGTCCACAAGCTAAGAACAGTTTATATACTTTAAAATGGTTGAGAAAAGGATCAAAAGAAAAATAAAATTTTGTATGTCAAAGTATACAAAACTCAAATCTCAGTGTTCGTAAATAAAACTTTATCAGAACACATTCATGACCACACATTGACTTTGGCTGTTTTAACACAATGAGTAGCTGCAAAGAGACTGGATGACCTGCAAAGCCTAAAATATTTACTACCCGGCCCTTTATAGAAAATGTTTGCCAACCTGCACTAGGCTGTTAATTGAAAACCCTGGTTGGCAAATGCCCTAAGAGTAAAGGCAAAACAGAAAGAGATTGTGTCTTACCAAAATGCAACCCAACTTCACGTTGGCTCAGTTCTGGATCGATTTAGGGTAATTAGCTTTCATTCTATTTGCCTTGCAGAGGAAGGGTAAAGCTTTGGTAGAGAAAAATATTGTCTTCTGGAGTCACTACAATTTTTAATACACAATTTACACACATTCAAGCATTCAGAAAATTACTGCACTAACTTTGTGTGGTCTGAGCTGATTTGTAATACATAACTGAATTATTATCTGGTAGGCTCAACAGCAATCCACTAACAATCAACATTTTAAAAAGCAATATTAGTCTGTGTTATTTAAAGAAAAGAAAACTAAAACATAAGTAATAATATTACCTAAAAGTACTTTTCTTGGCAAGAAAACTTAAAATATGTGTCCAGAATAATATCATTCTAACTAACCAGGTGTTTATTTCCATTGTAAAACATTCAAATAACATATGGAATAAAGTCTATGAATTATTTATTTTGTAGAAAATGAAAATAAATAGTAATTAACCAGTTATAAATCATTCTGAGCTATGAACTGTATTCTAGGACTCATTTTTCAATGACACATGGTTCACAGGACACTAGCATCATATTTTAGGCATCTACTATCCTGAGAAGACTGACAAGTGCAGATTTGAAAAAAAATGATAACACTAAAATAGTATAATTATGCAATATGTTATGCCTACATCTCTCCCAGGATTTTAAAATTTGATTTTAATAGCTCTTTATAACGAAAAGAACAACTCAAAGGAACAAGACAGCTAATATGTCAAGTTCAATATGTCATGGAACTGCAAAATTGTTAAATTCATTTTAATTAGAATATACTAAGGTTTTACATCTGTGGCATAAGTAAATGGTAACTTCTAGATATAACAAATCAGGTCAATTTAATTTATAACCTATTCAGAATTTGCAACATGTGTCTCACTGGTAACAATGGAATGTAACCTAATCATGCTCAAAAGTCCAGGTCATATAATAATTTCATGGGATTCAACCACATACATTTGTACTATATACAGAAGCGGTACAGATATAGCTATGAATATAAAATTAAATACACAGTAAAAACTAGATATTTATGCATTTATACATGTACATATAAATTGCATTCTCTATTTTTTGATTTAACTCAGTAGGATACCTAACATGTGAAGTTACCTTATAACAGAAATGCACAATATCATCTGGATGTTATCTGAGAAAGCCAGAATTATCCTTGAAGTGAAAGGACCTTAGAATTAGAGACTTCTTAAAAAGTTGACTTCTTAACTTTTTTTAAAGTTTAAATATTGTCTGTTGCTTTCTTTACCTTTAAGAACTCGTCAATGACAGATGCCTCTGAACAGGGCTCTAATAATTTGATCAGATAAAGGCTGTGAATGTGGTCCAATAATAAATCATCAGGAGAGTATGCTATTTATCACTTTAGCTAAATTATTAGTGCTCTTTTAACATTAACTCAATATTTTAGAAAATTACAAGTATCACTAGTAACAGACTCAACCAACATAATTTACCAATTTTAAAAACAAGATTTACATTCATCTAATTCTCAAAATTATTATAAAAAATTCTTTACCTATGTGAAAACAGTCCATTTTTAAATATGTCAATAATATTATAGTGAGAACTGAAAGATACTAAGGATAACTGAAGACATTTATGCAATTAGTTATTTTACTTAAATGTTGGATTAAAGGAAAAAAATATATATATATACACACACACATAAGTAATCTTCATATTACTAATTCCTTCATAACTGGCAGAATACTATGCCTTTAAACACAAAATAAAATATTATTTATAGCTCCACAATGCTGTTTCTGTACGCATCATCTCTTATTCCAATTAAAAGATCAGAGTCCTCAGAGAGACATATTGCAAACAAAAAGTCCTTAGTAGGTGGTAGAAAGTCAGGCCAGGAGTCAAATACAACCAACAGAGATGACAGAGATATGATATTTAGCACAGTTTCCTCAGAGAGAAAAAAGCAAAACCACATGGCCCTGCTGAAATGCCGAGTTAATTCTCTCTCCTGTCTAAGCATTAACTATTACATCTTTAAAACTGTTTCAATTAGACTACTGCTTCTTTAGGTAAGTCCCTCTTCTAAGAAACACAAACATTCTCAAAGTGCATTGCTGAAACACCATAAAAACTTAATAACCTACCATTTTCTTTGCACTCTTCTGGAGGTTTAGCCTTTTTCGCAAGTCGGGGATCCAGCCATGATGTTGTCTTTGTGTTATGGCTGAAAAGAAAAGAGATCACTCTGAACAGACACATACTAAAGGGAATCAAGTTTATTCCTTAAGAAAAAAAAAAAGCGGGGTTAGTCCAACAAAATTGCAATCGATACACTTAATTTGCTTACTGGTTCTAAGTAGCCCTGAAGGAGGTGTAAGAGTAATTGTGCAAGGCAGCTGTAAATTTGGCAACCTCAGCTCCCTGTCCTCAAAGCAGCTATTTTTATTAAAATCAACTAGAATGTTGCCAAGTTAACCTCATTGAAAATGCAGAACTCATCCAGAGCAAAAGGAATTTATTACAAATACAGGATTCTCCAGTTGGAAGAGCACAGTCCACAGGCTCTGATACTATTTCCTGAGTTTTGCAAAAGAATTATTTTTATCTCAAACCTGCCCTTTTCATAAACAGTTGTTTTGTTACTCTAAACTACAGAGCTGGCAGAGGCACTACAAAAGTGATGCAAATTATAGCATGTTCTTGGGATTCCTACATTTTCTCAAAAAGTGATTAATAGCAATTTCATTAACTCACATTAAGCTATCTTTCATCTAAGTACTTTTAACCTAGCTAGGAAAGTAGGGGGTACAAATGTCTTCGTTCTAATGTTTCTGGAATGGAATTTCCAGGAATTAATACTAAAATGACATTTCTGCTTTGAAAAAAAAAGTTTTCTTTTTAAGTCTTTTGCCAGAAATTTAAAAAGCAAAGGAGAGATGTCCTTAGAGCAGTGTTTCTTCTTAAAGTGGTCCTGGAATCACCTGCATTGGAAACACCTGGTGGACTTATTAAGGATACTTATTCTGGATCCTCATAGAACTACCAAATTGGAATCTGAGGTCGGGCTACAAAATCTCCATCATTGGCAAGCACTCCAGATGATTCTATGCACATTATAATTTAAGAACCGTTCAACGGCCCATAACTGCTCATTGGAGCTAAAACATTTACTGCATACAGCTGTCTCAAGGGATCTCATCTACCAATGAACAAATTATCAAGAATGTGACATTTGTGAGGGCTTTGGGAAAAGAACGAGCAAAGTCACAGGTGTGGGAAAGTGTGAGGTGTTTATACACAGTCAGAAAGCCATTGAGTGGAACATGACAGGGAAGAACAGAAAGCAGTTTGGAAATAGAAATTAGGGTCAGATAATAGAGATAACTTGAGCACAACTGTAGGGAGGTAAAAATGATAATGATGATAGAAACTTCACAAGTACTCTTTCTATAGTGAAATTTAATTTTATTTTATCATATCAGAGCCACAATTGTTGGCTAGATAACTGATGAACCAATCCGTTCTTAAAGAAAAAAGTCAGAAAATTCTCCCAGGTAGTATATTTAATAGCAAACTTGTACAGACAAGTTCCCTCCTAATAAAGGGAATTTCAAGCCAGGAAGGAGGGAGGATGGATTCAAGACGGGTGGTGGAAAGCTATTCCAAGGTGTTAAAGCACGCCTCAAGTAGCACTTTCTGGGTGACCATTCCATCTGCGTACTTGTAGAGCCATCTCTAAATTGAGAACTAAGTCATTAAGATGCTTGGGTCATAAAGTTTCTGTTCCTGAAGATTCCCTTTTATTTCGTACTTTCATGTGGAGTAAAGAGAGAATACTCTCCATCACTTTCTTCACATTTAAGAGTTTCTCAGTGATAGATGCCTCTGAACAGGGCTCTAATAATTTAATCAGATAAAGGCTGTGAATTTAATCAAATAATAAATCATCAGGAAAGCATGGGAGCTTTTGTTTCTCCCCAATTTGACCTTTGTAAAGTCTGATAGTGCTTCATTATCAAGTTTCAGAAGGATATAAAGTATTGTGACACTTTGGTCTGTTCTGGCCCTAATTTGTGTGATGTCAGTATAATCTAGTCTTTTCTCTGAGCTGAAGACTTGAAGCCCATGGTTGGAGGTTCAGAATATCCTGAATGTGAGGAGAGGGACACTGGGTTCAGTGTTTGCTGTTTTCATTAAAGAAAACCAAAACAAAACCCAAACCAAAAAGCAGTCACTTTAAAAATGCTCTTTATAGACATGCCTCAGTTCAAAGTGTGTGTGTATATGTGTGTTGATGTCTATGTTGCTATGAGGTAGGGGGAAATATTGAGAGGTGGGCAAGGAAAGTAAATTTCCCTTCTTTCTGCCCTTACCTTCTTCTTCCAAATCTTTTGCCCACTTTGGATAAAAGTCATTTCTAGGTCCCTTAGACATATTCACAAAAGCAAACACATCCATGGACAAGTATTAAGGCGTCCTTACTTAGGCACTGCATGTAGTCAGATTATCATTTCTATACCACACTACCATGGGTTTCAAATACTGGCTCATTTAGTAGAGAACTGTGAATTTCCTAGCTTTCTTGAGTTTATATAAAGCATTTTATTACATGACGATTTTTTTTTAGGTCGAACTAGCACTAACGGTGTGTCACTTTAATACATTTTGACAGATCGAGTCTCTTACAGTTAACAGCATTTTTAGCAGATCTTCAGAAATGATTCTGAAAGAAATGTGGGTAGTAGTTACCTCCAGTAATTGTCTTAAACATCACATGAAGATACAGCACAGTATTTTTCAATAGTGGCTCTCACCAGCCTTGTAATTTTTATGCTCTTCCAAGATGCTTTACAAAGGGGATATTTCTAAGGCATTGGGGAGACCACAGACCAAATAGCTTCCCCACTTCCCTTAAATTGTATATTTTTAAACTTTAATAATTCCACTTGAAAATAGTATTAAAGGATGGGCAGGAAACTGTACAAAATGGAATAACTCAAGGATTTTTCACAATCTGCATATTGTCTTTCTCAAGTTTGAGGAGGTGATTTCCTTGCACTTTCCTAGCTGGGGTAGATTCAGATGCACAACATCAGTTATCTGTATCTATCCAAGCTATGTGTTGCATGAACACCAGGAAAAGAAAATGTTAATGCTATATAATCTTCTATTTCAATTCAAGTAGAGACACATATACATATATAAACTACATTTGTACAGGAACTTTTTTTATTTTAGCTGGAGAATAAAACAAATATTTTCTAGGAGCTTTGAATCATACTACTTATATGTTTCTATGGATAAAGCTAATGTAATGATCATAAAAAGTGAGAGATTAAGTGGAGAAAAGTCAGTATCTGTTTGAGTTCAATCAATATCATATTACAAAATCTGGATGAAAATCTAAAAAAAACCGGTTTATCATATAGGTATATCTAAAACCGTTCTCTGATGTTAAACTGCATAACTCTGTCTATTTGGGGGACTAGAATAAATCAGAAGTGAAATTTCATTTAACTTGCAATTCTAGTTTAAATTCATATCAGGATGGCCTTGAAGATATGCAATAAGCCGACCTATACTGAATCAGAAATTTCTATAGATTTTTTCTAACGCTTAACCTTTGCCATGCTGACAAAAGCAGCAGGTTAAATAATAACATCTTATCTTTTGAGAAAACATTCTTCTCACATAAAACATACTTCATTTCAGCAGGAAATGCTACTGACAGTGCAGCACACTATTGCAAAGTCAGTCTCACTATCTCATAGTGTTTCTTGAGTGTCTATTGTGTTGAGGACTGCAATAGAACTTTCACACATCGCCTCATTTAATGCTAATGAGCCTTTGCGGTTTAGTATTATTAACTCCATTTTATAAACAGAGAAACAAAGGTTGAGAGAGGCTGGGTAACAGCAAGTCCATGAAAGTGGAAGAGCTAGCATAATACCCAGATATATCTAATTCCCAAGCCCAAGTGTTTTATGGTCTGAAATCAGAGACATACTGAACCTCAACTTTACTTTTCACATGGGGTCCATTATTTCACTCCCTGGATGGTAATCAAAGGTTCATTTCCCAGCTCTTGCCAGTAGTTTAAAAACAGACCTTTACCTACTATTTGAAGATAGCAACTGCTACTTAAATTCATTTGTTAGTGTTGAATGTCTGGCACTTAGTAGGTATTATATTAAACTGCATGTGCACAGAGACAAAAGAGAGAGCTTTGCAATTGTGGAGGCACCGATAATATATCACTGGAAAAATTTTCTCCTTATAAACTTAAATTCTCTATTCAAATCACCTTCAAATCAAATTTTCTTCATTCAATTCTGAATATTTTTCCAGAATATAGTCATTTTTTAAAAAGCCTGATTTATATAATCTACATGTGAATATTAGGTTTTAGAAGCTATACTAAAGAATTAGGTTAATAAAAAACACTATCAATGATTGTTAGGTTTGAATTTTGAAGGTTTTAGTCTCAAACCGGAGCAAAGAAAACCAGGAGCCAGGCAGTAAATTTAGGGTAGGCTTTAGTGGGGACGCTCCCAGGAGAGGTTCCATAGCCCCGCAAGGGAGTGGGGCTGGGGAAGTCGCGCCTGGGCAAAGGCAGGTGGGGTTTTTATAAGGGCGGGCTGCTGTTGGCCAGCAGCCCATATATGGTGCATAGCTGTGTAAAGTTAAGTTTCGGTTTCCTGCATAGGTTCTGTTTTCCCTGATGTGACGTGGCCCCGAGCCGTTGCTCTGATGGTGGGAGATCTCTCGGAAGGTGACCTTCAGGTTGGGTGGGAAAGTCCCAGGGGCGGGTCCAACAAGATGGAGGCCCTGGTGCCATTTTGCTGACGTTCCCCTATTCCGCCAGCCCAGCAATGATGAAGCATTATTAGGATCAAAACTTAAAATTTTCTCAAAGATCATGCCACACTTTATCCTCCAGCCCATTTTTTGATTCACTCATCATTTTTCCAGTTAGGTTACAAAGCTCGTTGCAGTTTCTTAGGTGTACGAAACTGGATCGTCAAGGGTAACCCCATGCAAAACTAAGTTTAAGACAAGTCCTTCTTTCTTCCTCTTTCCTTTCTGTTTCATTTTTCTATTTTCTTTTCTCCTTTATATTGCCACCCCAATCAAACCAATGTTTTCACTAATGTACAAATATTGGAAGTATTGTCTTTCATCAACTATAATTTTATTAATGGAATAATAAACTTTTATTATTAA